TGTCATTAAACATCAACACAAAAATAAGTACCCACTCTCTGACATCTACAATATGGATGAAACACCACTCCATTTCAACATGCCAGGCAATGGAACACTGGAGTACCGAGGTGCCAAGATCGTGCACATCAACCCAACCGACAATGAAAAGAAGTGATTCACTGTTATGTTGAACTTCACTGTCGATAGTACCAAATTAAAGCTGATAATCATTTTCAAAGGAAAGTGAGACGTCGCATTTATCTACGTCAAATGTGCAGTTTCCAGTAGTCATTTTGAGAAAATTTTTAACTTATTTCATGCCATTCAAAGTCAACTCGTGTTTTGCAAACAAGGACTGTATAAGTAGTTTTCCTGTAGTCATAGTACAAATGTAAAGTAAACAAAATTATCGAGTGTGATTTTTGATTTGTTAAAAAAATAGCCAAAATGCTGTGACATTGTCTAATTGGTGATGGGAATTGCCAAGTCAGTGTATAAAATAGGGAACACAAATTTTCATAAATATTACTGACCGCGAAAGAAGCCCATCGCGAAGTGTCTTGTATATATGCAATATAAATTTTATACTATAGAACGGTACATCTCTCTTGGAGGATGTAGTGGCCCTGAAAAGGGACACTTTGTTTAGATTTTCTTAGTATATAGCGGACTATATTTAAAACAGGGTGACTTGTCTGGCATAGAGGATCATGCAGAGAACAGGTTCGGTGAAATAACCGTAATGAAAACCACAATTGTCCATCACAACAGTGTCGCCTTCTCCAATAAACAGCTGACCATCTGCTACTTCTTCATTCAGTGCCTCCTCAAAAAAATGTTAACAGCTCCATCCCCTTTGAAGGACTACGAAGAATATTGAAATGGGTCACACCAAGCGGGCTATACAATAAATTCACGGTAAAATTTATGTTGAATGTGTATCTTTGCACTTCCACTGCCGGCTGACCTACTGTCCAAAGACACGATTGCCTGTCGTGCATTTCACTCCCGTCGTATAAAAAAAATGAACACGGAGAGCGTCAAGTTGAGAAATCATGTCGATATAATTCATGATTCTGTCCATGTTATGTTCCATCAGCTGTTCGAAATAGACGTAATTTTTTTTTATGAGTAGTCTAAATCTCGTTTGAATGTGTGGTATATGGTTCTTGCGTATGGCAGTGTGTTGGGCGTACAAACACCCTCATCCAACAGCTTTCCTTTCACTTCGCTAACTGACATAGATGCTTTGTTGGCCTTCAAAAACTCAGTAATTTCCACTACTTCGGGGATTGCCTTTCTACGTGAGCGATCGGTCGACTGAGAGGCGCGAGTTGATCCCGTTTCCTGAGTTCTTCGACTATGTCGTGTATAGTACTGATCGACCTCCCAGTCTCATTGGCTAAATATCGCAGCAAAAATTCATTCAGCCACTGACGTACTATATATGACCGGGTTGTAGTATCAATGAACCTGGAATTTTGCATTGTGAAATTTTTAAAATAGTCATGAAAAAAATTTACGTACGTTTCACCGATAACACTTTATTGGACAACGCCATGTACATGTAATAATAAACACAAACTTGCTTGCAAAACTTCAACAGATAGAACGTTCCATTATAATTTGGGGGTTGCCGCTTTTAGTTCGACATTGTACATACAGTGTGTCTTATATTTTGATATCTCATACATTGTAATATATGGCAATGTACACGTAATATTTAAAAACATTGAAATTGGGGGTGATCCGATTTCCAGAACACTTGACTTGTCTGTGTTCCTCGTAATCAGTGCAAAAATTCAGGAAAAAAATTAATAACCTTTTTTTTACCAATTACAAACTTTATTTTCTTGAAAATGACTGAAAAACAGATTTCATGGCCTAAATGAAAATGAGGCGTCCTTCTGCAGAGAACTATGTATGTGCCGCCCGACTGGGGTGTCATTTCACGTTATTTTGTTTAGAAGTGGGTAGTAATTTATCAATGGTTTGGTTTAGAAATGTGTAGCATTTATTTACTTTTTCACAGGTCCTTATATTCAAAGCCAAATACCGAAAAAAGGCTGAATAAAATGCATCGCCCGGATTATCTCACTGGTTGTGAAAGTTGTGAGCTGGGTGGGTTTTTTTGCTGAAAACACTTGTGTTTAGAAGTGGGTATTATAAATAGAAACAAGTGGTTTTGATGTGAGTATGGTTTGCCAGAGGTGGGCTACACACCCTTACCCACTTAATGTAGAAATTGACCCCCCCCCCAGGGGGGGGGGGCGTGGAAGGGGCAAATACGGTCTTGTGACGGTAGTTATTGTCTAATCAGCTAACATATTTTCCCGCCATTATGTTCGCTACTGAAGGCGCCCAATCTGTCGGGAAAACTCGTGAATTTTTCAAAAGGGCACAGAGCCTCCAGTAGAAAAACCTCTGATGCGGACGGATGGACAAAGTTGAATCATTTGTTGTAATACGGCGCGCCAACGCATCCACACATCTCCTCAACACCAATTTATTGTACATACCTGCATGATCGCCTCTAAGGCAACGTAGTTTTCTTGTGGGTATGCCATTCTACAGATGGATTGCCTTACTTAATGTTGTTCTTTAGGTTTATTCGCTGTGGAAGTAGTTTTTGTTTGTCAGACGTTCAGTCGGATGATTCGAGCCTAAGTTCGCTAGTTCCCGCCGTCCTGTGCCTGAAAGAGAGGAAGTACAAAGGCAGAAGCAGAGATGCAATATGGGAGTAGACGAGACCATTATTATTTTAGGTCAGCAAGCACAGCTCTGTACAGACAAAATAATTTGTATTTACAGATATTACAGCGTGTCCAAGATATTTACATACACCTAACTCCTTCACCTGGTAGTCAATTACCGTGGATCTTTGCAACATCCCCAGACACTTTCCTCGACGATCCAGTGACCGTAGTGACAATAAAGTTACATACCTGCGCGACAGTAAATCAAAACACCGGATGCGGTACGCCTTCGATGTGCATTACCAGCATAAACTGGACATTTTCACATTTATAATATTGACCCCCTAGGTTGATCTGATGACCAACTGTGTTTTATTATTCCACCTTTTTTAAGCTCCTTGGTATTCAAACTTTTGTTTTCGCGACTACCAAAACTTGACAAAAAAAGGAGAAGACACTGACGTCCATCAAATATAATAAAATATAAATTAATGAAATAAAAATAAAAATAAAGCGCGGTGGTCGTCGCGCAGCGCGTGTTCGAATTTCATGTAAATAAACAATGTATTTTACACGCGTTGTATACGTCGTTATGATTCCCATATCGAACAGGACGCGGCTTGACGACTGCCGCCCTTTAATTTAATTAATTAGATAAATAAATAAAAGCCAAAACGAGAATCGTTTTATTTTTTTTATTTTTATCAGATTGAGTGTAAGAAGTCAAATTAATTTCGGTGACAGTTTGACCTGTGACCCTTGTCAAGATACAACTCAGTGCAGCATTAAGAGGGAGTGTCGTCACCTGCGCACGCGCGGGAATTGAGTCCCAAGCGACGATAACAACACACGCTAAAAACGCAAAGACTCTTGGGTATACGCATGTTTGTATACAATGACACGCTATGGTCATCTGACGCATGCGCAGGTCACGACTCCCCCGCTTTAAGCGTGACGCAAATAACAAATGTCGCGATAAATACTAGTAAGTAATAATGTCGAACGCTATTTTTTTTGTCGGAAACTGTTTCGATACTACATTTTTCGATAGCCTAGGTGCGACGCTGTTCTAAATTTGAAGAAGTATTTATTACTTTGTTATGTATGGGAATTTTGTTTTATATTGCCTCAAATCTTTTTTACAATCGTACTTCCATGCCATGTTGTACTAGCATTTGAAATAACCATACTGATATTTTATTCGATTCAGGATTTTGTACATGATAGATAACAATTTATTGTTACTCGTGTAAATATTCTTGAGGCATTGTAATTGTAAAACTTGTTTCAGAATTGTAATTTGGCGCCAGCACGTCACGCGGTAAATACGTAAATACTAGTGATACACTGTCGACTCTAGGTGGCTTTCTTTGCAAAAACTGAAAAAGCTCTCGCAATGATACGAGGGTGTTCACGCTAACACGTCTAATACGGCATCAAAAAAAAGTTATCACTTCACCGCCTGTACTCCAATGTCAAATTTCAAACCAAGCTCAAAAATTGATTTTGTTTCTGGTGCAAATCATGTTAAATAAATTCAATAGCATTATTACTAGTAACCACAGTTACACGCACACGTACACGTGGGCTTAGTTAGACTGGCAAACTCGGGACTTCTTTTTTGTTTTACAAAAAAATATAATTAATTGTCAATTTAGCCATTTCAACGTGATCGCGAAAGATAGATTGTTTTAGCGGTCAGGTTAGTTTACGCTATCACGCTAAAGGACTATAAAAAGATTAATTATTTCTTTTTGTAAAACAAAAAAGAAGTCCCGACTTTGCCAGTCTAACGTGGGCTGAGTAGTAAAATATACTACATGCACGTCCATATTGCAACTTACATGTATTGTGTTTTCAACTTGAATGAATGGTAAATAGGCAAGCACACTGGACGCCTATATCAACGTGTACAGCTGGGCAAAACTACGGGGTTCGAGGTGAGCCCTGGGAAAACTTGTTCCAAAGAAAAAAGAACTTGTACGGCAAAACGACAAAAAAAGATCGTGTAAAGAATTAGAAACTCTGGGTAATGGATTTGGGGTCTGCTTAGAGATTTTTTGTATTTGTTTTCAAAGTGTCACTGAGAATCTACCCTGGGCAGGCCAAAATACAATTATCAATGTTTGTGAAACTGTCATATTTAAAGTAATGTATAAGTATACATATGGCCACACAGAATATACAATTACTTCATCTGAATTTGAACCAACAAAAATAGGTTATTACAGGGTGGAAATAATCGCAATGAATTATGGTTTTGTTCCGACATCGATCGACTACGCATGCGTCATGAGCGTTTACGTGGCTCAGTAAAACCAATATGGCGACTGATTTAGGACGTCTTGAGGCCACCGTGGATGGTTTGACGATAAATGTTGAGGAAGACCCTCCGTCTACAGCCAGCAGTACCACGCTAACAGACATGCCAGATTTCGAGGATAAATGGGGGTTTACTGTGAAGGAAATGTATAGGCTTTCACTTCAATTTTACCGAGGTAAGCCATGATTGTTAACTAAGTTGCTTCAGACGACATATAAATGATGATCATGACGACGACTCGGTTCCGGTCTGAGGACCAAACCCATCGTTATAGCACGTCAGTATGCACACCCATAGAACATTGAATTGGGGAGGGTGTTAGTCTATTTAGGAAAACAATCAGGCATTTATCAAATGAAAAACTTGCCACATAGTCATTCAACATTAGGCATTCGTGGTTACCCCACACACACCCGGAAGAAAGGTGTATTATCGTCAGCGTCAACGAATGATTTCTATTTTCCGATGTAATGCATCGGGTTCTAGTACATACTGCTATTAAGTTATTAACTTCTCACGAATTTTACCAAAACTGCGATTCAAAAAATAATCCATTGCATATTAATGGGCGAGTCGTACGTTCTTGAATTCACTGTGATTAGTAAAACCACAGTCCCTCTATCAGGACTGTGGTATAACGTGTTCATGTCTTTTGAAATCGTTGACTTGCATGGAAGGAACTACCATTGTAAATCTATGTATGTACTACATAGTTGGTCAATATTTTGGGGTGAAAATTTCTTGGGGCTCCTTTCCCATAACTCTACTCCAGTGCCTTTTTCCTATTTTAATTATAAACTAGTTATGTCTCTCTTCAGAATACTATTGTTATCTGGAGAGGCATATACAATGTACAATTACATTGGGAGTTGAATTGTTGGGGTTTAGGTTAGTGGGTCAGTTTTTGAAGCCCGTGATAAAAATGCTGGTAGAACTTTTTTGCAACAAACTTTATTTTGAAACAGACCCGCTATTTCAAAATATTGCATAATTGTTTCACTTTTCATTGATAGGGTAGAATATCTTATTTTTAGATACTGAGAAATTATGGTGCACTGTAACTGGTGGAGAATCACTGACAGATTTTTTAAAGAAACTCCCAAACCTCCCCACCCACCTTTCCACTAATGGCAATTTGGGTGTAAGATTATTAAATTAATAACAACTGAATTACCATGCATGTCTTGGTTATTTATTATGACTTATTGACCTGTCTGAAAGGTCATTGAACCCCATGTAAAGTGACATTTCTATGCTTGATCATGGTTACTATAAAAATCTTTCTAGTAACATGGATCGATCAAGCAGAATGGGGTGTCTAGGACTCAAATTTTACAGCCTATTTATCAGATAAGCTTTTTCACCTGATTGGGATAAAAATTTCAGTTGCATTTTTAAAGGTTGATCACATATGAACATGTGCGTGCAGCAGTTTTCACACAAGAACATGTTCTATTGCCAATGTATTAAGATAAATAAATGGTATGAAGCTTTTATTTTTACAGACATGTCTGTAGCCCTCTTGTCTTTATTTATTTTTAAATATAGTTCCCAATACTTTTTTTTTGTTATCTTGAAAACAAATTCAGAAGTAAATTTCTAATTGATTTGGTCATGTTTTTTTTATTTTTAACATAGAGTTTAACTGTGAAATTGACTTAAAGTAATATCACATTTACTTTATAAAGTTGGTATGTGGCCTCAATTTATTTTTAATATATTATACCTTGTATAGCAATAAACAATCTGCTGTAAAATACTATATTTTCTCTTCGAATTGATTTTCGCTATTCTCGCTGAAGGAATGATTCAGTGAAAATAAAATCCAGCAAATATACCTTTTTTTTCTATATTTTACATTCATTAGAAATCAGCAAAAAGAAATTCCATAAAAAACAACCGAAAAGCCCTTTCAGCGAAATTAATTCCAGCTAAAATAAAGTATTTCACAGTATTTACAATATATAGCAGGAGGCCTGTTTCAATCAAATACTGTAAGTGTTTCACATCTATAATTTAGTTGTTTGTAAGAACAAACTTGCATTATTTATGCAAATTTCTGAAATATTTATATAAAAATCAAGTTTTCATGATTTAGTATCAGTCAATTAACCATAAATCTATGTGTCATTCCTCGCAGTCGTGACCAAATTGGCTACAAATAAAAAAAACAATAACATTTTATCATACCATTTAATTAATTAATATGTAGCAGGTAAACTGGTAGGCAAAAGTGCATAAATTGATTTTCAACCATCATTTAAAAATTATATAAACTGTTAACTGCTTAATTAATATGGCAAAAGACAAATTTCCACAAGTTGATGCAAACATCTGACCAGTTTACATACTGCTATTTAAACTCATAGAAGCTGCACACACGGGAAGTAAATCTAGTACCGCATGCATGATGTTCGCCTACCTTCAAATTGTCAAGCTTACACGTTATAGCATGTCTTCCATTGTCTACCAAACATTCCCAAAAAATTGTATGCAGATCCACGTCACACAGTGTCAGATTGTACTAAAGCCATTGTTGAAATATGAATAGTAGATGTGGTTTAATTTTTCATTCATTCATTCATTCAAACATTCCACCATTTGTACTTTAATTAATTTCAATTAATTTGTTTAAACACAATTGAAAGCTCATCGTTGGATGTGATAATGATCTATCAAATACCTACTTAGTCATCAGCAGAGAGTAGAGAAATTGTATATCGTTGAACACCTTTTGAGGACATTGATCTAGATACTAGAATCCATAATGAGTGACTGTAACTGACAGTGATCAATATCATTGAGAAAGGATACAATCATTTCAATAATTTTTGCTGTATAATGTATGAGTCATCAAATAAAGAAGACGAAAAAACATGTTATTCAATGGTGTTAGTATATATAGAATACAAAGTCTGCAAAGTGCAGCTTGTACTGGCTAATTAATTAATCAGAAACTAAAAAATTAGTGTTTCATTTTAGATATATTTATTCTGTTCCTCTGCTGTTTTGTTTTAATAATTGATTCACATTTGTGGTGGGAAAAAAATTTCATTAATGTGGTTGTACCTCATACAGAACAAGATGGCTCAACACTTGTGATGAATGTGTACATCGTAAACAAAGTTATGAAAAGTGTTTTATTTGTCTTCTAGTTTTTGAAAAATAAAGACCACATCTAGTCATGTTTTTTCATAGCTATGTAACAAAAAGCAGTGGTACTGTACTATTGCAAACAAATGTCACAATATTTTGTATTTGGTCACTTTTCACATAAGCAGTGATTACCATGAACTGTTTCGTAAGCTGTATGCACTTGATAGGTCACAGGCACAAATCTCGTAAATGCTTGAATGCGTGGTTTACTGTTATCATCATCTGCAATGTGTTAAAAATTATTCCAGGGTCTGTTTTATAGCTGTATAACAAAATCATAGCCGACTAAAACAGGTTTCTTGTGTACACATGCTTGCATAAAGACTGTGGTTCAACCCACAATTCCATGCATCAGTACATTGTCAGAAGACGTCAGATCCTCTGAGGGTATCACTTGTTTCCTAATCCTTCATGATCTTACAATATTTGACAGCAAATGGGTCAGCTGCTAAAACCTTGGTAGAGTAGGCATGGTTTTTGTTTAAATAATATGTGAATATACAAAACAATATATTATGAAAAAAGTGCAATATTTCTTTAACCTTTTGAAACACAATATTTGTTTTTGTTGCTCATATTTGTGTATTTTTTTATCGTTTATTTTATCGTTAATTTTGGATTAAATGTTCATAATTTACCATTGACTACATAGAGGTCTTGATCAAATCTTTTAAAAAAATTGTAAAAAAAATGATTTAGGTTTAATACTGTGAGAGTTGACAAAAGTCGACTTGGACATTGTAAGGATTAATAGATAATCATTATCTGTGATCTTATCAAATAATAGTACAAGTGAATTTTTTTGTGAATTATTGTTGAATATATTAGGATTCCTAGTTAGATTTACATGATAGGTTTGAAACTGTTTGGATGTAAAAATGTAATGTAGAATGCTACTTGTGATTACCGTTAGTAGTATACAATGTAGTACCGTAGTACCAGTAGTAATATTTTGTGTTAAAATCGCTCTACAATAATACAAATAAAATGCAATTTTAGCAGCGGTTTTCGTAGATAACAATGAAAATACACTTCCTCATTAAAAATCCTTTTTTTCACAAAGCAAAATTTTGAAATACTGAGAACTATCCTTGTTATAGGAAACAATGGTAAAATGCTCTGAAACAGACAAAACATCCCATTTTCACTGTATTTTTTGTTATCGATATTCTTAGAACTGAATACAGTGATCTCCATTTTTCTTTTCATTTTCTTATTACTTTTAGCATGATATATCAAATATGTAAAAATAAAGAAAATTACAATAATAACCTTAACCCCCCCCCCCCCTCATTACACCTCATTACACACACACACACACAAAGAGTTTAACAATGGTAATTTCTTTACATGTCTGGCTTTAATTAAACACTACGTTAACTCAAAATCTATTTTTATTAATATTATACTGTTATTTTTACAATAATAATCTATGAAATTAAAAAGATTTAAAAGGTATATTTAATGTTTTTTCAATTTGGCTACTGTAGTGTATTAGCTGTACAATGATATAATGATTTCAGACTTACTCAACAAAACAGATTCATTTTTAATGTGGTTGTTAGGCCACACTGATTTAGTTTCATGAATGACATCTTCTGGAGACCCCAAAACTAATACGAGAGGTCGAAAAAATACTTTTCAATAACATGTATCTATCATGTCAGTACGTTTTTTCGTGTGTGTTGTTTACAAAGTGTGTGTGGAGAAAAAAGATGTTGTTTGCCGGCCATTTTGAATATATAATAAAGTCATTAGCGACATCTTGAATTAGCGAATCAGTTCTCTTGTTAAATTCGCGAAAAAGAAATGCTTGCGAAAAAGACACGTTTTACAGTAGCTTTGCCAAAGGCATACACATCAACTCAATAATAAAGAAAAACTTACCATGTTGTATTGAAAAAAAAAATTGAATTATAAATGAACAATAAATTAACTTCTTTGACATTCAGACTACAGCTTTTAAAGTGACACTTCAGATAGACTAAGTGTAGACAAATGCTCTAGAACTACTTCAACTATGTAACAAGCTCGATATTGAAAAAAAAAAACCCAACAGAGTCAACAAAGATTTGGATGCAAAAAATTATGTACAGGTATGTATCTTGATGAAAATTCGCCATTACTGACTGTGTGTGCAAGCAAATTATTCAAATAAGAAAATGGAAAAAAAATAATAAGAAACTTTTTTTCACCACGAAAGCGGACTTCGGCGACTTCAATGCAGACAAAGCAACCGAACTGACTTGTCGCCTGACCGACTTTTAGGCCACCATACACCTTCAGTCCTCTCCCATTTCTCTCATCATTGCAGAAGAAACGCGGGACAGCCACTCTGGACAATATGTCCTTAAAGTTGTCTGGGAGAAACTCGCTTGCCGTCACATCTCTCTGGCCGACATCAATTGCGTACCAGTCTACGTCAGCTCAATTTATCAAATGATTTTTAAATTAGTGCATAAAGAATTGCACCTGGTAATGTGTATTAGGTAATGTACTGGGGAGACTCACCTGAGGAAACACTTACCAGCAGATGAAAAATATAAAATAACATTGTACCATTATCAAAAGTGTTGCAGATATCCACTGATCTCATCAAATATTTCAAAATTAATTTTGATGCCACTAGATTTCTGATTTCTGTAGATAAAAATTGACAATGTGGAGGCAAAAAACATTCCATTCGTCTGTTAATTGTGATGGTCTTAGTATGGCAGGAGACAATTCAGTTATGAAAGAACAGTCACAAGTGTTGTTCTCACTGGACGAAATAAGCGGTTGTCACAATCAGCTGGTCACAGTGCCTTTTAGTTGAGAACATTGTTAAAATGTGTGTGTCAACAAAATACGTCGTTGCACAAAGCAATGTGCCGTGTGAACACAATACGATGGCCAAACACCCTCTTTTGCCAACTTATTTATGCTTGTCATTACACAAGATGGCGTCAGAGGTTACAGGTCGAATGTCGAACTGGTCAGACGAAGAAACAAGATTAATGATATCTGTATGGAGAGAATCGAATATTCAAAGGATGGACGGAACGTCTAGTATATGCTGTGATTGCAGAAAAAGCTGCTGAAAGGGGTTGGACAGGACGTCATTACACTGTCAAAGGAAGATCAAAACTTTACATATAAAGTACAGAGAAGTGACTGAGCACAACAACAGAAGCAATAGAGATCCAAAAACTATGCCATTTTGGGATGAACTACACAAAATAATAGGTGGAAGGCCAGCATTCAATCCTCAAACACCGGTGTTTTTACTAAGTGAGAACGTGAGCAGATAATTCACCAGATTATCTAATATTTGCACAACAAAAAAACAGTGTTAACACCAACGTCTTTTAGATGTGTGAGAACGTAGATACACATTCATGTCCAATTAAGGGAAAACAATTGACATTATGAAAGTGTAATTTGTATTATTTATAAACATGGCTGCTTCATGAATGTTGTATGTGTATGTACCTCATCATCATGGTGTGCATACATGTGTAACCTTTCGAAGATTGTCATCTGTGTCTATAGAAAATACATTGTTTGTTTAGAATATTCTTATCTTTTCTGCACAAAACATGCAGTAATGTTACTAGTGTAACGCATGGCCATGTCATGACACAGGGCTTGAACTTTGCAGGTGAGAGGGCACCTATTTCAAGGACTGAATTTATAAAGTAGCCTCAGCACATAGAAATAACGTGGGGAATATGAAAAGCCAAATTCAAGCCCTATGACAGACAATATAGTTGGCTATTGGATTGCATACTCATGCAGAATACTTCAAAATCCTATTTTATTCCAGGGATTTTTTTAGTCGTGCGGGGACTTATGTTTTGACCTCCGTGTGTCAGTCCATACGTACGTGTGTGTGTGCGTGTGTCCGAACCTGTATCTTAGAAATGCCTGGACCAATCACAATCAAACTTCACACATACATCATACATGATATTATACATATGCACGGCAATTTGTTTCACGATCTGATTCAAGATGGCCATTTTTGTGCTAAAAATCATCAAAATCAAGCATTTTTCGGCTGTTTACAGATGGATTTTGTTTGTTTGGAAATTGGTATATACGTTAGACATTGTAGGACCTTGATGCACATCATTTTGTTTTTCAGATAAGTTAAAAAAATGCCCGACTGGCGGCCATTTTGTTTTAATGAATGTGGTTGTAGTGCCATATCTCTGACTTGCTTAGACTGATTATGTTCAAATTTTAAATATTCATTATAAATCATGTCATAGATAAACAGATTTATTGGTTTGACGATCCTATTCAAAATGGCCCACTGGTGGCCATTTTTGTGCTAAAAAATCACCAAATATCAAGCATTTCTGGCTAGATTTTGTTCAAACTTGGTACATACATTAGACATTATGGGTTCCTGATGCACGTCATTTTATTTTTCGGATCAGATTCAAAATGGCCGACTGGTGGCCATTTTGTATTAATGAATGCAGCTCTAGTGCCATATCTCTAACATGCTTTGACTGACTATGTTCAAATTTTATATATTCATTATACATGTATTCAAAATGGCTGATTTTGTTTTAATAATTGTTCAAGAGCAATATCTCTCAATACTCGTTTGACGATCAGATACAAATGTCAATCATTTTAATGTTAAACACTCATCATAATCATATTCCTGATATGTTTATGTTCCAGCTATATTACTATATACAAAACTATATATCTTAAATTCGATAACTAACTGGGACTGTGCCATGCATGGCTTGTTAAACAAGGGAATAGGGGCGCAGCGCCCTCATGCCATGCCCATGCGCCCCCTTACCCGGGGAGCAGATCCTCTGGCAACCATAAAATTCTGATTGACCAGGGATCACATATGGCCACAGTCTTCAACTGTGATCTGTTTGATAGTAATTTTGGCCCCAAGGAAGCCATAGAATGCTCCATTTTAACTTAGAATTATCAAAAACTCCACACCCTGGTAGGGAGAACCCTATCTCCCCCACTTGGTGGCGCCACTGAATTGCATTTTTTTTCTAAAAAAACCTCTGTATCCTAATGTTTCCTTATTCCTGATTTTTTGTTCTTTTATAGAAATGGAAGGAAAAGTTGTGCATCTATCATACAAGGATAAACTCAAACTAGTAGCATATTGTAAACAAGTTAGTCATGGTAAATGTGATCCAAACAGTTCACCGCCAGTAGGTGTCTTAGATGTTATAGGCAATGATAGAAGGTAAGATGGTGTAATGTTTCAGGTTTCTTTACTGCGTTTATGTGATAATGAGGATAAATAAATACTGAAGACTCAGGAATGAATATGACATTTGACTTTAGCATTGGTCTACAACAATTTAGTTTGGTACATGTCATAATTTTGAATGGTACACTGGTAAAAATTTCGAACCCCTAACCATGCTGAAACTCAACCAATACCCATGCAGTATACAGATCTCTACCCTACCCTAATTCTTAGTTTCATAATTATAAATTATTGTGCAATTAAAAATGGCATTCCTATGACAAGACTATTATGTACCTTTAAATTACACCAATGCATAACTTCTAATGATTTCAATGGGAAATTGCATTATTTCTTCAGTGACCTCAAAATGTGACCTCAGCTGTCATTTTTGCCGTAAAGGGCTCACTTATAATAATAATAATAATAATAATAATAATAATAACTTTGTTGCATCTTTAGAAGTACACAATTTTCTATCAGTATATAGCAATAAAAACAAAAAAACTATGAAATAAAATTTAAAAAATCATTTGTGGATAAGATTAAGTATCATGTTTTTCATTTTTAACTAGGCTTGATAATATTTTTATCTGTGCTTTGCAATAAATAATGAATTTTTGGAGATTGGTTTGTATTTTCAATGGGAAACATTACTGTAGACAAATACCTTCAAGTGATAGATATTTGGGGTATTCCATGAAAAAGTGTACTTCATCTTCTATTTCTTGAAGTGAGCATTGACCCCAAATTCTAATTTCTATAGGTGTTTTGGAATTAGTGTGTCCCTCCTTTTTCAGTGGCTAAGGTTATGGTTGCTTGTTCTGAACTTGGCTACTGAAATTCTTTGTTTTGGATTCTGAATAGTTAAATGTTCTTCGAAATTGTATTTTAAATATAGCGTACATCCTCAGTGTAGTTTTTTCTTTCACTATTTTATTATGGCTCTATAGATTAATATATTTTTGTTTGATAGTGTTGATTATTTTCTTAATGTGTTGCTGTGTAGTTTTATTGTGTGATTATGTTGAAATACCTTCAAGTCAGTTAATATATCTTTCATGCAAGATGGCCATTGTAATTTGAACAGATACTGTTCCTGAAATGCTTGTAATGTATTCTTATTTAGTGCTAACTTTTTATCATGAATCCAGTAATCACTTTGAAATTAAAATGCGTTTTACTATTACTCAAAGTGCTACATTTGTTTTTTTTCCCAGGAAAGAATGGCTTTCCCTAGGTGATATGAGTAAAGAAACTGCCATGCAATCATTCTGCATTTTATTAGACAAGCGATGTCCACAGCTGAACCCCTGGATTGAAGCTCATAAGCGAGAAAAAGATGAACAAGAACGAAAAAGGTAAAATAAATCAGATATGTCAGCGTATGAGTACGTGTAAACTCATTCCAATCTCTCATTAGCATGAAATCACTCTAGTGCTCAGTTATTGGAATAGAGTGCATGACTACAAATAAATTGTAAACTGTGTATTGTATGTGAAATACAAGTTAGGTTGGATGTGTTGAGTAATGAGTTTTCGCATTTATATTACTTTTTTCTTGGATCATATTTGACAAGGATAAATAGGCAATGTCATGGTGTTTATCAATATCACTCAAACATATTGCTGTATTGACAACTTTGAAATAAAATATCAGCAGAGCTCCATGGCACCATTGTTAGCATGTCAGTGGAGCCTCTGGGCTAAACTAATCACTGATTGTTTCACATTATGTGCACATTTGCCCTGATCCTAATGAAGTGAATTGCTTGAGGTGAGACAGAGTCCATTATGCGAGTTTCCATTAGTAATACAGTCTAAAATTGACTTGACAAATCTTGCGATGTCATACACAACTGCCTACTTGACATACTATACAATACAAATCCGCTGTTGGTTGTTTTGACAGTATGACCTGTATATGAGCCTGTGTGATACAATGTTTTGTGCTGTGCTCACTGGTTAAGAATTCTGTTTATCTTGTTGCCCATGTCACAGTGTTTCCATATTACCATAAACTTTCTAGTAATTTAATTTCCAATTAATAATTGGATTCTTGAAGTCGGATTTTAGTCAATGGAGGTAATTGCAAACAGCAAAAGTGTGACACATGGGGGAAAAAAACACACAAAAAGACGAAACTAGTTTTAGGTCTTATCAATAAAAAGAAACATCAAAATCGGATAGTCTAAAAACACTATAGTCAGTGTATTATGATGATATTGCTCCATTGCTAGATAATGTGAAGTCTTGATATGTGGAAATTCTGGTAGTCATTATGTGTGCATTGTATTGTAGGGAATAGTTGGATCTCTCTCTCTCTCTCTCTCTCTCTCTCTCTCTGCATTTGCATAAGAGGTCATCCATGATTCTGCATATTTTGATAAATAACATGCAGACATTATAGTGATTTTGAATTTGCTTTAAAATACCAATATGTGATTCCGTGATGTTTACATTGTTTCCTCTGTCACACTCGCATACAAGAATAAAATCACATTTCACACTGTTTTATTATAGAAATATTACCAAATGTTGAAATTGTTTTATGCTGATAAAAACACGATTTTCTCTTCGGAGTTGAAATAAACAAGATGTTACATTAGTTTTGCATGCTGTTTCTGTCCTGAAAAGGTATTGAAACTACCGGAAATGCCTCCAATAAAATTGTTGGGGCAAATCGTCTCCCAGTTGGGTAGCTGTAACCCTGATGAAACTGTATACATGCCTAATTTGGAAATTCTACTTCCTAATAAGGTAACCCTTGCAGAATGTAACAGCATACTATTACTGGATGTACTCCATATTTAGAAATTCCACCTCCTAATAGTATGCAGAGGGGACTCCTGAATGTGATGCCAAACTACATGTACTGTATTGTGCTACATGTTGGCAAATCAGTTTGATATGTTTACTCTCTCCTGAATTAGGCGTATTGAGACTGAGAGGAGACGACATGAGGAAGAAGAACAAAAGAGATCAATGTTAGAAGATCAGTCTAGAAAACAAGCTGAAGAAGAACGGTTACGACAAGAACAGCAAAGGTATCAGACATTTGCCACTAAGATAAACCTTTCTTGAGCTTCCCTTGTGGTAGTCGTTGTACAACAAAATGATGAAACCTAACCTTAAAGCTGCCCAATTGTCTGAAAAATAACTTTTCCAAAAATTTCTCAAGAAATCAATCAGGGCTGTAATTTCTAGACACTAATGGCTCAAAAGTGGTGTTGATTGCTGAGGGTGAAATTGTCAATCAATTTTGTGGTATTTAACATAGTTGCCAAAGGTTACTGTATTTGTATGTGTAAAAATCAGTAGATTTATTCGCATACATCGTTTAATAATGTGGTCAGCTTTGTCAACTTAATGGTACTTGTCACAATTTTGTCGCAGTGGTGCACATTAACGCCTCATATGCCATGTTTTTGAAATAAAGTAATAAAATAAATCAGACTTGTTAATATTGGTCTAAATGTCACCATTTTTTATGGCAGTACAAAACATTTTGTTTGTATGGTAAAAAGTAACATTAAATTTATGCCAGTGATACCTTAAAGAATCAGTTGTGTGTGATTCCTAATAACATCTTCCTGTCAGCTAAAAAACATGACTGAATGCTTCAATGATTTCAGAGATATGCACAAATTCTTCTTGTTGCTAACTTTATTTTCATTTAACACAAGGAAATTAAGTTATTTTACATGAAATTAAAAAAAAAAATACAATATCAACCATATGGTGTGTTGCTTTTGTTTGCCGACCCAAATCCCTTATAGCATGGTGTCCCATGTCAATAAATGACACTTCTCGAAAACTAATATTCAATTTGTATCTTGGTTTCATTGCAATTTTGTTTCCTTTTGTGTTGATATCTGCAATTTTCTATTTTTAATTTATTTTTTTTATTAATGGAAATGTATATTATCAGCTGATTTTTGAAACTATCAGCCCAATTCGCATTTATTGCGAGGCAGCCATTACTATCTACTGTAGAATACTTTATTTTCGCTTGGAATTTATTTTCGCTATTTTCGCTGAAGGGATGTGTCCGTGAAAATATTAACCAGCGAATATACTTTTTTTTCCTATATTTCACATTAAACTCATCAAAAATCAATGAAAATAAATTCCATACAAAACGCCCAAAAAGCCTTTTCAGCGAAAATTAATTCCAGCGAAAATAAAGTATTCCACAGTATTTGAGTTCCAAGCCTCCTTTTCATATCGGTAGCAGATCGTATGTACGCTGTATTGTATTGTTGCAGGGAGCCTAAAATCAAGGCTTGGAAAGGAAATGAGTCAGTAATAGTTTCTGCATAATAAAAGTGAATTGCCGATGGCCTATTAATGCTATTAAACAGATATAACAGTAGAGCTGTCTTATCCAACAGATCGCTTGATAAAAATTTGTATTTTTACAAATGGTTTGTGATGAGGTCAAAACTTTATTACAGATGAATTTGACAAAATAAAAAAGACCATTTGATTTGAGAAATGAATTGATGACACTCACAATTCGTACATTGTCAAAAGAGACAATTGTTACATTCACTGCACCACTGCCTGTCAACACTTACAATACTGGATAATTGTTTTGATTGATTCCATTAGAATACAGATAAAACAGATGTTAGACCAACAGACCTATCCACAGTTTGCTCAGTATGCTCTTCAACAGTACCCGAATAACCAAGAACAGGTAATGTCTGATTTTCATCATAAAATTGTTTTATAAATATTATTATTTTATTCAAAACATCATAAAAATTTGAATAAAGAGTTAGTATTATGAAATTATATATATTCCATATTTGTTCCATATAGCTAGAAGTTGGATATTAACCTAAAATTGCCTATAAAATTGATTAGTTTGACCACAGACTCACCCTTTTTTATTTATAATCACATGCACTACTAATAGAGTGAATATGGTGTTCAATATGAAATTCTGTGTTATCATATCATCACAAAATTCGAATAATATAAGTGTTGAAAAATATTGAAATTAACATAATATACTTCAGTTTCTCAGAATGTTTTATGTAAATATATACCATTGCATTTATCAATCATCATCTGATCTTTGATAATATGAATATAATACTGAAGCATTAACACTGATGAGTAGTTAAATATTTTTATGTCCAACCATTCCTCAGAGCCTGTATAGTTTTCCCATTATAGATTTCACGCTTTCCCGAGCATCAGTGGTTTTGACATACTCTGTAGCCATGGCAGCATGTTATATGTCTTCATTACCCAAGCGTTCTATAGCAACAAATGCATATGTTATAGCGGCTAAACTTAAATACCCCCATCAGCACCATATTATTACCATGGGTATTGTGTTTATTTTCTTCAATAGATGATAATGACAGTATTTGAATCACAGCAAATCCGTATCCATATTTCATCAGTGTAATACTTGCTTCATCACTGAGTCAGGTGTGCCACTTTAACACAGATTCATTTTTGTTTTCTTTCTCCAGCAACAAGTTTTGATAAAACAGTTACAAGAGAATTACTTTCAGCAGTATATGCAGCAGGTTTATCAACAGCAACTCCAGCTACAACAAAAAATAACAACAGGTCAGTATCAACCTAGCCATATGTTAGTGTCATCTCTAATGTGCCAGTGTTAACCTTTTCACCACCAGACTTTCTTGCTAAAATTTTTCTGCACTTTTTTCTTCTTCAATATTTCTGAAAATGAATCTTAATTTTGGAGCCAACAGTCAAAATTGTAATAAATTTTAGTTTTTTACTCAAAAAATTTGGCTATTTTTGTCCCATTCTTCTGTTGGAAAGTGCAGACTATAAACAGGACAATTTTGTGAATTTGTGATGAAAAGAGGAACTGGTGGTGAAAAGTTTAACGCAGTTAAGCCAAAAATGTTCTTGTCTAATGTTAGGCAGAAATTTTAAATAGGGGAGCAGTAGCGCAAGGGGTGGGATATTACTTTTTGTCTTCCATCAAAAACTGAAACCTGCATAAGTTTTTTCATATATTTTTTTACAAATTTTCATCAAGACCTGTAGCTAGTAGAAAATTACGTCTATTTGGTTCAAAATCATCAACAAAATGTCTAAAAGTAGGCGAAATGTTGGTTATAAAAAATTACGGCATTCAACAGGTTAACTATAATTGTATTTACTTAATTTTTAGTAAACTGGTTTGAAGGTATTTAGCTATTAAACTTAGTTCTAGATTTCCTTGACTAATACCATGACTTTATTTTATCAACCAACTTCAGGAATTCACCTTAGGCCACTGGACAATGTGAATATTTTAAAAGTGTCCGATCTTTTGGTTCTCACAAATGCCTTCCAATTATCTAATTAAAAAATATGCCTTAGATGCAATGAACTACTAAAAGCTTGTTTACAGCTAGAAAGTCATGCGACAAGTTGTGTGGTTCTTTTGCCCATGACAAGATTGTGGTCCCTCCCTGTCAAACTCTCTCTTTTATTACATAGGAATGAATGGCGAACTGGAATCCCCACAGCAGGTACAAACAGAGGACCATCAAAAACTTCAATCTTCTCCTGCTACCGTAGAGAAGACATGTCAGTCAGTAGCGATGGGGGCAGGTGACATGCCGAATGCTGTGATGAATGGTCAACATCACCACCACGACGACGAAGATGTGATGCAGTCAGCCAACCCTCAGGTCAATAGTGTGGAACAGACAGAGCTACATGTACATGATGCCAGATGTTCTCATGACAGAGCTGAAGGACATGACGATGTCCAAGGTACTGATGGAAGCAGTTGTGGTTAGTATGTTTAGTCTGTGTTCTGTTGTACCACAGGTACTGTATTTCCTCCACTAGAAGAACATCTCTAATACAACCTCGCATAGACCCAAAATTTCATTTATTGTATGCCACATCATTAAAATATGAGCTATTTTAGTCCGGAGACACATTTCTGCCTATAGCAAATGCAGTAGTTGTAACGGTGTAGTGTGTTGCCTGTGGTGATATGAATGTAGTGACAGATCGGGACAGGAAGGACCCACATGTATCACTCGTCAAGAATACTGCAACATTGAATAGGGTTGGTCAGTGGGGCCATCACTAATCCAGAATACTGCAACATTCAATGTGCTTTGTCAGTGGGGCCATCACTAGTCCAGAATACTGCAACATTCAATGGGCTTTGTCAATGAGGCCATCACTAGTCCAGAATACTGCAACATTGAATGGACTTTGTCAATGGGGCCATCACTAGTCCAGAATACTGCAACATTCAATGGGTTTGTCAATGGGGCCATCACTAGTCCAGAATACTGCAATATTGAATGGGCTTTGTCAATGGGGCCATCACT